TTATGTCTTCTAACATTCACATAAAGGAGGGACTTTTCCTGAGATTATCAAAGAGAATTGCACTGATCTTTTTTTTTTTTTTTAGTATATCACATCATGACATCAGTTTTCAGGTGGAACAAGTGAGCATATCACGACCAAGAAAACCTACAGGTTTCAGTGGAAGTGGGTTTAAATATCTGTCTTGAGGTACTAGATACCCTGGAGTAAGATCTTGATCTTGAAGGATACTTGGGCATGTTTTCTCTAAAGGTCTTAAAAAGAATACAACAATAAATGTTAATCTAAAAAGAGGTAGAAACATGGGAGCTTCATTGTTACATCCAAGAATAACCCGTGCCTCTTTACCTCTTTGAATTCATATCCTTTGAAGCCCTTACAGATGTATTCATAAACCGAGATTATCTCAAGTTTACAAATTTTAATGTCTTTTCACTTTCAGAGGTAAAATAGCAACCTATGCCCCTCTATAATTTCTCTAACAGTTTTAGGATAGAGTTTCTTTTAACTCAAACTGAATATGGAAGCAGTTTTTTGCAAAATTTTTGTGATATGGAATTAGAGGTTTGGAATGTATGTTAATAGTACCTATATAAAAAATTGAGTAGGGTTTTTAAATCCATTCTAGGTACGCGTGTGTTGACTAAAACTAAAATAATTTTTTTTTTTTTTAATTTTTTTTTTTTTCAACGTCTATCCATCTTTGGGACAGAGAGAGACAGAGCATGAACGGGGGAGGGGCAGAGAGAGAGGGAGACACAGAATTGGAAACAGGCTCCAGGCTCTGAGCCATCAGCCCAGAGCCTGACGCGGGGCTCAAACTCACGGACCGCGAGATCGTGACCTGGCTGAAGTCGGACGCCTAACCGACTGCGCCACCCAAGCGCCCCAAACTAAAATAATTTTTAAAAATCTAGGTAGCTTTCCATTTTTCTTTGAAGGATAATATGTATACTGGTAATTCTTTTATTATCCGTAAGCCAGGATCCATTCTTTGCCTGCTGGGAGGCTATGGGCCGACTTAACCTTTGCTGACTGTCTCACACCTTCCTGTGGTTTAACTCAGGAGGTACTGGCAGGACATGGGGATAGGCATTCGGCATTTTCTTCCTGCGTAGCTTGCTCTTTGGAGATGACTGCATCCCTGTGAGACCTACCACTACAGCCTCGCTGGTAGATCTTCTCCCCCCCTTTATTTTTTAAAGTTTATTTTGAGAGAGAGTGCGTACACACTCATGGGAGGGGCAGAGAGAGGGAGAAAGAATCCCAAGCAGGCTCCGCACTGTCAGGACAGGGCCCAATGTGGGGCTCAGTCTCACAAACCGGGAGGTTATGACCTGAGCCGAAATCAAGAAGAGTCAGACGCTTAACCAACAGGGCTTCCCCAACATCCCTGGTAGCCTCTTTTTTATGCCTTTTAGCTCTTAGTAGGTGAAGGTAACATTTCCCTGTTCATCTAGCCTCACGGGTGGCAGTTGCTACACTAGCTGCCTCAGTATTATCTTGAATCCCCTCTTCTCCCAATCTTGCCCAGCAGTAGTTCTTTGCTAAAGGTCTCTCCATGTAAGTCATATGGGATGAATGCATTTTCTTGTGCAGAATCCTTTTCTTAAAGTCTGCCTTGTCTTGTACCTATTCTAGTGTATTAGAACATCAGTGAAAGTGTAAAGAGGACTTAACTTTTTTTAATCATAGAATTACTATAGAATGTTTCAGGTTGTCAGAATAATAAGGACAAACCAGATTTTAGATTTCTTATTTTTTTATTTTATTTTTAATGTTTTATTTATTTTTGAGAGAGCATGAGTGGGGGAGGGACAGAGAACAAGGGACATAGGATCTGAAGTGGGCTTCACTGACAGCAGAGAGCCTAGCCTGATGCAAGGCTCAAACTCATGAACCAGGAGGTCATTACCTGAGCTGAAGTCGGCCCCTCAACCAACTGAGCCAGGCGCCCCATCAGATTTCTTATTTTTAAGTTGAGCAACACCTAACACTTCTTTCAAAGGTTTATTGAAAAGATTATATGAATTAACTTACACAAGACTCTGAAGATAGTACCTGACTGCCCTACAGATGTGCTCCATAAATGTTTGTCCCCCTACCCTGTGGGCTGGCATATGATAAAATCTCCAAAATCCAGGTAAACGTGGAAGAATTATACTAGGCACTGAGGATTCAAAATTTGTTTCCTATTCTGCATAAGTGGATCCTCTAGAAAGGAAGAAAAGCATGTAAATTTGTTTTATAAATAGCATTAATACTCTTTCTACAGTAGTGAGATTATAGGGCGTATATATTCAGTGACAAAAAGCAGAGAGTAATGTCCAGCAGACACATGCCCGTGTCTTCGGTTCCCATGCCTCCTGCCTCTCAGGATACATGGGTTTTGTGTCAAGAAATAGTCACATTTTCCAAGTATGTACCTTGATGATTTTGCACATTCTAGAAGAACAGGAAAAGGGCAAAGTAGATTCATTTAGAAATTGAATAAATCCTTGGTAATCATGTTGGTGTATTTTCCCAGTTAGATAAGCCAGAAGCATTTCACCACGTTGTTCTTTTTCTTACATTCAAGACTATAGATACTGTTGCTGGAAATTTTACCGAGCCAGAAAAGGCCTTTTTGTTCTATTTAGCATCATGTTTTTCCCTTCAACCAAAGAATTAGACTGCTTGTAAGTAGAAATACCATGCTGCATGGTGTAACACTTCATAAAAAGAACATGTTACGTAAACATTAGCTGTCACCTGCCAGGCACTATTCTATGTGCCTTTTACACAGTAATTTGGTAATCCTTACAGTGCCTTCAAAGATGGAAATTTGCCATTTTACTGATGAGCAACCTGAGACACAGATGGTAAGTGACTAGGAAATGGCAAAGCTGGGATTTGAACTCACGTAGTTAGAAAGGCCATGCTCTTTACCATCATACTACACTGCTGTATTACTGTGTGTAGGATATGTGCTTCTAGTTAAAATTTGCATATAGTTGATTTTTAGGGTGCAAGCCCACTTTTTAAGTGTAAAATTATGAACTGTTAGTGATGTTGCATTTCAGATAAAAGATTTTAGTGGGCATCATTTGTATTTAGAGAAGCTAAATAAAATTCTGTATAAATTTCTCTGGTGCATAACATTTTGTGTTTCAGGGCTTTTAAAATTAGGAGTAAAGTTACATTTGGTGCTTCATTTCCCCTTTTTAACTTTGTAATTATGTCAGAATTTCAAGAAAACATCAGAGAGGTATGGGAATGTTAATATACATTTACATGGTTATTTTTTTATAAGATTGACTGAAACCCTATAGTGAAAACATTTTTGGATAGCAAAATCAGTGTTGAACATTTAACCATTGTTTGGGAAATGTTCTGTATTATTTTAGAAGAAAACCATTTGTGTGCCAAATGTTTACCATTTGACATTTGATTCAGACCACTTAGCTCATTAGATCTGTTGGCTTCATGCTGTTATATGGCTTTAGCCTACAGTTGTACTGGAAGAGATGGGCACATAAATCTTTGGAGGAGGAAGACAGGGTCAAAGGTAAAAGTCTGAGCCATCTGTAAGGCTGGCTGTGGACCCAGTTCGGAGGCAATTCTGTTAGCATAAAGTTTTAAGCATCAACAGTATAGTTTTGTTTGTCATTAGGCATGAAAAAATAAACTATAAATCCTAGCTATGTAATGGGAATCTGGACTCATTACGAAAGGAGTTAAATATTTGAAAACCTATAACATTTAAGATTAAAGGGATCTGTTAGCAGGCTAATCAGTGGGTTGCAGATATTCTACAGACTGGGAGGTGGTTTAGCAAGAAATATTTATGGTAGGAAAACATGAAAATAGTCTGCTGGGTAACATCATTCTAGAACCAAACTTTGCTAAGTTAAGATGCTTTTATGGCAAAAGTAACTTTAAAAGCCAAACACATGTAAGTTTTAGTTACGACACTTTTTGTGTCCTTGTGGGTTCAAGAACATGACTGTGTTAATAAATCACCCACAGACAGCAGTATCTTTAAGGTTGATGTATTTGTGGGAAGAAGAAACGGTCACAATTTACTTTAAAAAAAATGGCCAAAATGTCTAAGCTTGTACACTGACCATCAAAAGGCCCTATCTAGAAAAGTCAAATCCAAATAAAGGCTAAGAAACTGAGGCTAGAGGCAGAAGTGTCTTATATATACCACAACCTTCAACGCAGATTTCCAAATGCTTGTTTCAAGTAAACAGATTTCTCACCTGCTACCTTTAACCTAATATCCTGGAAAGTGGTTTCCCTCCACGAAAGGGGATTCAGTTCAGTTCTTCGTAAATGTGAATAAACGGGAGGGCTCCATGGAGGCAGGCAGGTTACAACTAGGCTTGATTTTAATAAGACCACATTGCCAACAAGAGCTTCTACTTTCTAGAGGACTTGTAGTATTATAGTGACAGTAAGCAGTTGAGAGCAGACCTGGGGTCAAACCTTGACCTTTAGGGAAAACCAGCTAAATCAGCATGAACCACTGTCAAGTGTATAAGGTGGCAGCCGTACTCCACCAGGAGGCATTTTCTATCAGAGGTCCTCTCAGCATTCACTCAACTGCAGGGGAAAAGCTTCATCTTGAGCCTTTGCAACAGCACGGAGTCTGAGAGTCTGACTGACTAGGTAGAAATGTCTTTTGTAAGTGGCCTGAATTTGTCCCTATTTTCATATCACTTAAGGTCATTCCTAGTAAAATATATCCTGCAAAGGGCTGGAGCCAGGCCACCTGAACTCTCAGGTGAATTCTTTAGTAAATACCGTATTTGAGGAGTTCGTGAGCATCCTGACCAGCCGCTTGTGGAGTAGAGAAGGACGGAATGTCCTAGCCCTTCGTACTCTTCAGTGTTGCAAAATACCTATTTGGAGGAGCTGATTTGCTTGCAGAGAGTGAGGCCGGCCATAGCACCCAACTTCACTTTGGGAGAAATGTTGGCCAGAAATTCTCCCTTAATGTGAGTGAGGCGTTTCTTTGGACTTCCATCACTCCCCACTGGCAGAGCATCCCGTGTGTCCCAGAGCAATCCTGTACCCTCTAAAGGAGAGATCGGAAGATGCTGGAGTCGGATCCTTGGCGTTGACCTACGACTGAAGCTCCTCAGGAGTTGGGAGGAAGAAGTAGAGGAGGCAGGACAAGTGCCTCTCCCTCCTGACTTTCCTCCCTGGCCAAGGCGTAGCGTCTGGCTTTTCTGGGGTCAGGCTCTGGCGTCTCCTCTGCCCATCTTCCCACGCGGCGCACACCTTTGGCCACCTTGGGTGCGTTCCTGCAGGGATTGTGGTCATAGATGACCAGCTTCAGACTCGACAGGTGGGCCAGGCTGGGGAAGTAACGGATGCTGTTCCTGTCCACGTCGATCACCTCCAGGAAGGGCATGTGCAGCAGCACGGGGGGGAAGTCAGTCAGCAGGTTGCCTGAGAGCCAGATGGTCCGCAGCTCTCGGAGGCGCTGGAGCTGGCCTGGCAGCAGACGCAGAGAATTGGAGCCGGCATGCAGAGTCTTTAGGAGACTTAGCTCGCAGACCACCTCCGGCAGCTGGGTGAGGCAGTTGGCCTCGACCCACAGGGTCCGGAGATTCTGAAGCAGGCTCAGCTCACTGGGGAGGTCGCAAAGTTTGTTGTTACCCAAGTAGAGGATGCAGAGCTGTTTCAAAGTACACACCACCTGGGGCAGAGCCTTGAAGTTGTTGAAATCCAGGGCCAGGATCTGCAGATTCTGCAGCTGCCCCAGCTCAGGAGGCAGGCTGTTGAGGTGGTTGTCACTCAGGTAGAGCTTGACCAGCTCCCGGAAGGAGCACACGTGCCTGGGGAAATGGCGTAGCTGGGTCCCACTCAGATCTGCCATCTCGTCCACGGGCATCTCCCGGAGATCTCTGACCACATAGTTCTGGCAGCAGTCAGCGGGGATGAAGGCCACCAGGGCTCTGATGGTGTTCCCCATGAAGAGGCCGGAGGCAGGGTGAGCCCCAGCCCACCGACTCACCGACGGGGCCCACTGCGGGTTGGGGCTGCCGCCGACTGCCCTGAGGCCTATTTTCCTCCCCCATTATAACCTGGGGTTGGCGGGACAAAAGCCAGTCACTTCAACAGAGAAAAGTGCTCGTGATAGCGACTTGAGTGTCGGGTGACAGGCCCAACGCACGGGGTCTGGGGAGGCCGGGCCTGTGATTCGCGTACCCACTTTCAGTCACCTAAGCCCCAATTGCCGTTATCTACATTTTTTCCGTTTGTTTGTTTCAAGCTGAAAATAGCTTCACTGTTTTTTCTAATGATAAAACAGTAAGACATCATGTAAAGGTGTAACAGGAGAAAATGAAAAACACGCACAGCCATGTTCCCCAGGAATGAACACTAAACATTTTAAGGTATGTCCTCCAGCTTTTGCTACAAGTAACCAATTTATTAAAAAAAAAAAATCCATACTGCTTAAGAGTCTTACTTTCTCATAACATGGACATTTTTGTGTTTGCAGGTATCTACACAATTATTTTTAACACCTGTATTCCATTGTATGGAGGCATCGTTGGAGTGTAAACAGCTCTCTGCTGTCATCTATTGGCATCTAGATTGCTTACAATGTGTCACTATTATAAATATCCTCGTACATGCACTGTGAGAGTTAACCACTGATTTCTTTAGGAAATGGGCTTAGAAGTGTTCCTGGGTCAAAGATACGCATGTTTGTTTTTTTTAATTTTTATAATGTTTATTCATTTTTGAGAGACAGAGACAGTGCAAATGGGGAAGGGGCAGAGAAAGGAGGACAGAATCCAAAGCAGGCTCCAGGCTCCGAGCTGGCAGTACAGAGCCTGATGAGGGGCTCAAATCCACAAACTGTGAGATTATGACCTGAGCCGAAGTCAGATGCTTAACCAACTGAGCCACCCAGGTTCTCCCCACCTCCTTTTTTTTTTTGAGAGAGAGAGTGTGCAAGTGAGCGAGGGTCAGAGAGAGAGAGGGAGAAGGGGGGCTCACCCGAAGTGGGGCTTGAGCTCACCTGATGTGGGACTCAAACTCACGAACCGTGAGATCATGACCTGAGCCAAAGTCAGATGCTTGACCACTGAGCCACCCAGCCACCAACAGGTGTCCGTTTTCTGAACTCTTCATTCTTACCAGGTAATAGTTTTCCATAGTTTACAAATTTGCCTTTGACATTTATTTATTTTTGGGACAGAGAGAGACAGAGCATGAACGGGGGAGGGGCAGAGAGAGAGGGAGACACAGAATCGGAAACAGGCTCCAGGCTCTGAGCCATCAGCCCAGAGCCTGACGCGGGACTCGAACTCACAGACCGCGAGATCGTGACCTGGCTGAAGTCGGACGCTTAACCGACTGCGCCACCCAGGCGCCCCAAATTTGCCTTTGACAAAAGACGAGTGGAAAAGCAGAAGAGAGGGAAGAGGAAAGTCAGACTCCCGAAGCTTAAATACATGAGGATAGAATTCTCCAGTTCATCTACGGCAGATGACAGCTAATTGCCCATCAAAGGTTTGTGCTTTTCTTCCCCAGTGTCCAGTTGTGGGAAGCAGCTGCCCAGCCGGGACATTTTCTAGTATGAGTCTAGGTCAGAGAGTCTAATTCTGGCCAATGAAATGTGGGCAGAAGTGATACCTGTCTCTTCTAGGCCTGGCTCATTTAAAACCAACCCCGCCTACCTCCACGCTCTCTCCATCTGCCTGCTGGATATCAACACCCAGGGTGACCTTAACTGCCACCATGTGGAAGTCACATGTTGAAACTGACAGGGCCTTGGTCCTTCTGGATCCCTGGAAAGGTTAACATTCCTAACACCCTCAAAGCTTCAGGTCAATTCTGATCTTTCTGCAAGTACCCTCTTGTACTGTTCGAAATCTTTTGGTTTGAATGTTTTGTTTTGTTTTTTAACTATAGACATCTATTTAAAAACCATTCCAAATAAGACGATCCATCAACCTGCCTGCTGTATGGGAGAGAGCCGGGGCTGGGGGAGTCTCAGCAAACTCTTTACCATCCTCCAGTGCCTTTGCTGCTAAATTGCTCCTAATAGACTGAGCAGAGCAGAAGAACATTCCGCGGGAATGGCCATTCCACAGAGCTCTTTGGTGATGCAGTGCCACCACCCACCTTTCTCCTCAGTCACAACGGAAGCTGGTGTCCTTGGACTTTCTACACACTGAAAGTCAAAGGCTGTCATCTCGAGGCTCCTCCTTGCTGTGTTGATTTTTACTATAATAAATGGCCTCTCAAAATGAACAAATCAGGAGACTATAGATGCTGGAGAGGATGTGGAGAAACGGGAACCCTCTTGCACTGTTGGTGGGAATGCAAATTGGTGCAGCCACTCTGGAAAACAGTGTGGAGGTTCCTCAAAAAACTAAAAATAGACCTGCCCTATGACCCAGCAATAGCACTGCTAGGAATTTACCCAAGGGATACAGGAGTGCTGATGCATAGGGGCACTTGCACCCCAATGTTTATAGCAGCACTCTCAACAATAGCCAAATGATGGAAAGAGCCTAAATGTCCATCAACTGATGAATGGATAAAGAAATTGTGGTTTATATACACAATGGAGTACTACGTGGCAATGAGAAAGAATGAAATATGGCCCTTTGTAGCAACGTGGATGGAACTGGAGAGTGTGATTGCTAAGTGAAATAAGCCATACAGAGAAAGATACCATATGTTTTCACTCTTATGTGGATCCTGAGAAACTTAACAGGAACCTATGGGGGAGGAAAGGGAAAAAAAAAAAAAAAAGAAGTTAGAGTGGGAGAGAGCCAAAGCATAAGAGACTCTTAAAAACAGAACAAACTGAGGGTTGATGGGGGGTGGGAGGGAGGGGAGGGTGGGGGATGGGCATTGAGGAGGGCACCTTTTGGGATGAGCACTGGGTGTTGTATGGAAACCAATTTGACAATAAACTTCATATATTGAAATAAATAAATAAATGGCCTCTCGACAAGTACTGTGCTTTGCCTCTATATTTAGCCTGGCCACTGTGACCACAGATGGTCATGAAACAGCTGCCCTGTTGTCCCTAGAAGTAATGATGACAATGATTGCCACCTGTTATTATTTGTAACTAATTGGCTAAACTCTAAGCACTGTGCCAGGGGTTTACATATACTCTCTCTTCTCGGAAACTGCCAGAGGAATATTTTTTATCCCCAATTTTCAGATGAGAAAACTGAGGGTCCGAGAGGTTGAATAATAACATCAAATATTTATTGAGCACTTACTATGTTCTGGAGGCAAGGAATCTTGTGGCTAACGAGATAGACAGGATAGGACCTTGTCTCACAAACTACACAATTCCACCAGAGCCGGGGTGGGGTTCTCCTCCTGGAATTAAGGTCCCACCAGCTGACAAACTCTGGCCTCACACTCAGAACTTCCACTGGGCGCTTTAATGCCATCCGCTAAATACGAGCATGGAGCTAAGGATAACCAAATGGTTGAGAAAGGCCTTTTGTGTGGACGGAGACAGAAATAAGCAGAAGAAAAGAAATCAAGAAAAAAAAAATGGAGAAAGCAGATTGTAACCAGCCACACTACAGTATTTTCAGAGTTTGTCCTGCCCTCATTTTTCATGCCTTTGTGTCAGGTTTAAAGTGAATGAAACGTCCCTTGGGAAGCATGGAGGGTTATGGATTGACCATTACCATGATTGTTTTATTGGCCCATCTCGACTGTTGTCCTTGGCAAGGGGACAGCCTGCAGATTCAATGGCATCTAGGTTGCTTACAGTGTGTCTGTGAAAGACCCACACGTCCCTCTTCACAAAGTCACTGGAAAGACCACATCCTCTCTGGCCACAGATGTCTGTGAGTCTATCAAATGGGTCACATGACCCCTGTGACCCCAGAGGGCTCTGAACCGGCTTATCTAAGGGACAGGTGGGAGATGTTCAGGGCTCAGTTTAAGGACTGAAGTTGGTGATAATCTCTGAAAAGGAATGTCGGAACGGTGGCCTGGGTGTAAGGAGGCAGCAGTTTAAAGCAAGAGATAGGGGAGACAGGCCTGATCCTGACAATGACTAGTTCCTGGGGGGTTTGCAAAGGGCACAGCCTCCCATTGCTCAAGGCACACAGGGTTGTGATCTTGAAGCTTCCAAAAAGAGCACTGACCACGTCACCTCTGCCCTTCATCTGCTTAAATATCCGCTGTGCCCTTCCCGACCCCCACCTACCCGTTTCCCCCCTGTCGGCCACAATGCCTCCTTGTGGGACCATAGAAGCCCCACCTCAAGTCTGGGCAGGGGCTTCTGATTCCCGTAGAACGAAACCCAGACTCGTCAGTGAGGTTTACAGGACCCTAGAGGATGTGCCCCTGCCCAGCTCTCCAGCCTGCTGAGGGCTACCCTCCTCCTTTGCTGCCTCCTCTGGTTCATCGAATGTGCCCACCTTCCTCCTCATTAGGGCCTTCCCCCCTGCAGCCCCCTTTGCCCAGAACGCCCTCCCCCCCCGCCCCTCCCCTCACTCTTACTCATTTGTGCTGTTGCACCATACATGTCGTTTCCCGACCTAGTGATTTTGCACCGTGCTGACAGTACTCCCCTGTAAAAACTTACTCATCGCCCATCTCCCCGGCTGGATTCTAATCCCCACTCAGCACATCGGCTGGGATTGGCTTCCTGTTGAATCTGTCGTCTCTGCCTCAGTACCAGCAAGTGGCAGTAAATGAGCTGATGCTAATTGGCCGGTGAAGTCAGCCTTGATTTGCCCACAGAAGATTATTATTATTTTTTTTATTTATTTTTGAGACAGAGAGCGAGCGAGCGCACAAGCAGGGGAGGAGCAGAGAAAGACAGGGACAGAGGATCTGAAGCAGGCTCCTCGGTGACAGCAGCGAGCCCAATGTGGGGCTCGAACTCCCAAACTGCGAGATCATGACCTGAACCGAAGTCACACGCTTAACTGACTGAGCCACCCAGGCACCCCACACAGGAAATTATTTTTAAGTATGAAAGACAGCACTAACTATAGGAAAGAACACAAATTTAACTTATTATCCCCATCAGCACTGCTATAGATCGTATCTTGCG